TAAGTGTGATTTACTCTACTTTTCAGATATCCTGCTTTCCAAACAAAATATATGAGAAAATGTATGTGTAAATGAAGAAATAAACTAAAAAATCGACACATATTATAAACTGTATACTCCTTTTTAGGTGTTTCTATAATACCAAAGATGTTTTGAAGCTCAATAAGACCATTGGTTTATATGATATTGTAAACATATATATTTTTGTCTACCTATTTGCCTTCCTCCCCCCTGGTAGCTCAGCTGTAAGTCTGAGGACTTATAACGCTAGAAATTGGGTTTCGATACACGCAGTGGAAACAGTAGATATATTTTTGTTGTGTAGCTTCGTGTTGAACAACAACAAAAAAGCCACCCATGCTAGTATATTTCCTGTCGTTTTTGTTTTCTGGGTAGAATTTTATTATTTTGTTCGCGATTTAAAAAAATTAAAACAATGAGTTGACATGTGAATGAAATGAAAAGGGAATATCTAAACTTTCGCCTATGTTTTAACCAAATAAGACAGGGTTTGAATAAAATTACCAGACTTTTACTAGAACTGGAGGTTTTAAGAATCGAAATTGGTACATCCACGAAATGTGTTTGTCTCGGATATTGTAAATGTCCATAAGCCTAGGTTCATTTTAATCAGGCCCAGCATGGCCAGGTGGTTAGGGCGCTCGACTCGCAATCTGAGGGTCGCGGGCTCGAATCCCCGTCCCACCAAACATATTCGCCCTTTCAGCCGTGTGGGCGTTATATTGTGACGGTCAATCCCACTATTCGTTGAGTAAAAGAGTAGCCCATAAGTTAGCGGTGGGTGGTGCTGACTAGCTGCCTTCCCTCTAGTCTTTCACTGCTAAATTAGGGACGGCTAACGCAGATAGTCATCGTGTAGTTTTGCGCGAAATTCAAACAAACAAATCATTTTAATCATAACACTTTTCCTGTTGGGTAAGGATTCACTGTAAATTTTCCAAGATCGTCTGAACGACATCGAACCAAATCGTTATAGAAACCTAACTTTAAAATTTATTTAAGTATTTCATTGAAGAGAAGACAATAGAACAGTTAACAGAGTATAAGAATACATCAAAAGCCAACATATGTTTAGAAAAACAACAAGTTTATCGGACAGAAAACAGTCTATTTCTAACAGTCTCGCCATCTTTGATAGTAATAGATAAAGTAAAGGACCTGAAGATAATGATGACAACTCAATATGTATGTTCCCGTTTCCATAGTTTTTTTCAGTTTCGGATGAATAAATGAGAAGTTTGTGAAGACACCACACGAGTGCTGCTTCCAAGTTCCAATTCAAGATACTGTATTTGAAACATACTAAATTATGTAAAATAACCAAGTAAAAGGGGAAAAAGACCAATCTGTAAAATCAGAACGGTTTTAGTATGATGTTATCAAGAAGTTATCCCTTTTTTAAGAATAACCGAACATCAGCAGAACGCCCCCCAGTGGCTCAGCTGTAAGTCCGCAGGTTTAGGCTTCGCTACCCGTGTTGGGAAAAGCATAGATAGCCTATTGCTTAGCTTCGTGTTTAACAACAACAAAAAATGCGTAAAGATGTTTCTGGAAATTTGTTTTGTTACATTACTTTATCGTGTATACGATACCCTTAATAAGAAATTGTATTGTTCATGGTGATATTAAGTATGCCTTTACATCAACGTAATGAGAAGAATAGTTGACAGGTTCTTGTTTGTTTTTCTTATCGGTCAATAACAAAGAAAAAAGAAAAAAAGAGGGAGAGAGAGAAAATAATACCAATTGTTTTCTTTATGTTTAGTGGGAATTAGTACCGCCTGACAATACACAATGAAAAATAGATTAACTACAAACAAAAACAAAACGAATTTTATCTCTGATGGCGTTAAGAATAGGAGTATTAGTATCTTGTGTTTAAGGCAAAGCTACATAAGGCTACCTGCCGCCGTCTCTAAATTATAAACAACTGACCAGAGGGAAGGCAACCAGTTATCAACACCCTACCACACATCATCCATGCTAAGAGACTGACTGTTATTATTATAACGCAGTCACAGCTAAAAGTGCGTGGAATATCATGTTGTATCGTACAGACGCGAACACGAATCTCCAACTGTGAAAACCAGAGTTCTGTCGTAAGGTCAACATTAGAAATGTAAATATAAACGTAACCACGCCAATTTTCCAATATCAGAAATTTGAGAATTTTGTCTTTAAAATAATAAGAATTAAAGAAAAGAGTAGTCTAAAAGCTTGCTTATTTGATGATCATCACCTGACAGTTACCTTTATGCTACATGGATGCAACATAAGTTAGGGAATTTAGCTGGATCAATATTATTAAGAAAGGGGAATTGAAGCAATAGCAAAGGAAACAAATTATGGACGATTTTTGCAATGGAATGTGGGCCCGGCATGGCCAGGTGGGTAGGGCGCTCGACTCGCAATCTGAGGGTCGCGGGTTCGAATCCCCGTCACACCAAACATTTCATACCTTTCAGCCGTGGGGGCGTTATAATGTGATGGTCAAT